TTACCTTGGATACGTGTATGATTATACTTCTGGTATGACTTTGCATACATGCACAGCCAGAGGAATGAGAAGTTGTGCTCCATTTATGTACAGTTGTCCAAATGCATTCTACTGTCATGTAAAACTAATTAGAAAAAATTTAAATGAATTAAAAATCAAAGAAAAAAGTTGAAGAAGATATTTAAAAATGGAAGACCTTCCTTGTTAATTTATTAGAAGAATTATTAGTGTTAAAATGTCTGTACTTCTCAAAGTGAATCTATGTATGCAGTGTCTTCCTTATCAAAATATCAGTGATATTCTTAATAGAAGTAGAGAACAATGACTAAGATTTACATGAGAGCATAAAAGACTGTGGATTGCCAAGGTTATCTTGAACAAATTAATAAAGCTAGAGGCATCACAATACCTTATTTCAAGACATACAGAGCCACAGTTAGAAAAACAGCCAGATATAGTACAAAAACATACATGTACACCGTTAGAACAGAATAGAAAGCCCAGAAGTAAACTCATTCATTTATTGACAAATGATTCCCCCACAGAGGCCAAAAGTACTTTAGAAAAATTACATCCTCTTAATAAATGATGTCAGAAAAATGGGATATGTACATACAGAAGACTGAAACTTTACCCTTCTCTTTTACATGTGTATAAAAATGTACTCAAAATCTATCAAGACAAGAACGTCTGAAACTACTGGAAGAAGACATAAGTGTTATACTTAAGACATTGGAACAGGCAATGATTTTCTTGATAGAAACCCCAAAGTGCAGAAACAAGAGGAAAATTGGCATGTGGGATGACATCAAGCTAAAAAGCTTATGTACACTAAACAATTAACAGTGAATGTGAGAAAATATTTGACAACTCTTTATCTGACAAATGGCTAATATCTAGAATATATAAGGAACTCAAAGAAAGTAACAACAAAAACCCAAATAAACCAAATAGGGAAGATGACAAGTGAGCTGAATATGCCTTTATAAAAGGAGGAAATACAAATGGTCAATAAATATATGAAAAATGCCCGTATATCATTAACAATCATGGAGACAGAACATAATTACATAACAACATTTTTTTTTGTTACTAAAAACAGAAAATGGTTGGTAGAAATGTAAATTAATCATTATGGCAGTTCCTCAAAACATTAAAAATAGAACTATAATATAATACAGTCCAAGTGTCTCACTGCTAGCTATATGTCCAAAAGGGATGAAACCAGCATACCAAGAAGATACCTGTATGCCAATGTTTATTGATGTGATATTCACAATAATTAAGATATGTAATCAGCCTGGGTACCCATCAACAGATGGATGGATAAATAAAATATGGCATCTATATACAGTGGAATGTTATTCAGCCATAAAGAAGAATGAAATCCTGTCATTTGCAGTAAAATGTGTGGAACTGGGAAATATAATGTTAAATGAAACAAGCCACAGAAAGACAAATTCTGCATGTTCTCTCTCAAATATGGAAGCTAAAAAACGTCAACCTGAAAGTAGAATAAGCTCAACTAGAGATTGGGAATCTCTGTTGTGGGAAGGTTAAAAAAGGGAGGTTGATGGTTTGGCCATGTAGGTCATTTGCACAATTCTTTTACAAATTTCCAATTGGGCAGGATATAACAAACAAATTAGGTCTGTTCTGTTTTCTCTTAGAGTTTACCATCTCAGTTGATTGGAGTTCATCAATGATGCAGAGATTTTTTTTTTAAAAAAATGAATTTCCTCCTAATTAGATAATAAATTTCATAAGTGAGAAAAAAATGGAGGTTGATTTTGGTCAGTGCATGATATGTTCATGTATAAAATTATCGTACTGAACCTCATTAACATGTACAATAATAAATGTTAACAACAAAAGGAAAATGGATGACTGATGTTCACTGTGTACAATTCTCATGACCCTCATTCATTATGGTAGCATCTCATGAAGATGAAAAAAAGTTTTTTAAATCTTAGATTAGAGCTTTCCATGGATCAGGAGAAGTGGCTCAGGGAGAATGATCACGTTTTCTTCCCCAGTATATAGTATTAAGTGCATGAACAATACACATTTAAGGTTCCTATATATCTTTTTATTGCTTGATAAATAGCATATTTATATCACCTTATAACTTTCCTTTATATTGATGATGATGTACTATAGTTTATGTAAAATCACCTACGTGTTAGTTGCTTTCAGGTTTTGGCAATTATGATCCTGTAAATAACCATTTGTAGTTTTTTTTTCTGTGTGTGTATGTGCACATATGTTTTCAGCTCATTTGGGTAAATATCAAGGAGTGAATTGCTGATCCTATTGTAAGATTATGTTTAGTTGTTTAAGAAACCTTCAAGTTGTCTTCCAAAGTGCCTTTACCATTTTGCATTCTGAAAAATGAATGAAAGTTCCTGTCGTTCTACATCCTCAACAGCATTGGGTAGTGTCAGTATTTCCTGATTTGGGCCATTCTTATAGGTGAGTAGTGGTATCTCAATGTTTAAGGGAAAAATCCCCTAGTAGGATATGATGAGCTACCCCCACCCCCATATTCTTATTGCCATAGCTGTGTGGTGTCTTTGGTGAGGTTCAGGTTTTTTACCTGTTTTTAAATTGAATTGTGTATTTTCTTAAATGTTGAATTTTAAGGGTTCTTTGTGTATTTTGGCTAACAGTCCTTTATCAGATGTGTGTTTTATATACATTTTCTCCTAATTAGTGGTTTGTCTTCTCATTCTTTTGATAGTTTCTTTCACAGAGAAGACTTTTTAGTTAACATATAGTCCAACTTACTAAAGAATTTGTGAATCATGTCTTTGATTTTTCTATCTAAAAAGTCATCACCATACCCAGTTGTCATCTAGATTTTCTCCTGTTATTATCTGGGAGTTTTGTGGTTTTACATTTTACATTGATATCTATGATACATTTTGAGTTAATTTTTGTGACTGGTATATGGCATGTATCCACATTTAATTTTTGTGTGAGTATGTTTAGTTGTCCTAGCACCATTTGTTGAAAACATTGCTTTTGGGCTGGGGCTGTGGCTTAAGCGGTAGCGCACTCAACTGGCATGCATGCAGCCTGGGTTCGATCCTCAGCACCACATACAAACAAAGATGTTGTGTCCGCTGATAACTAAAAAATAAATATATTCTCTCTCTCTCTTTTTTTTTAAAAAAAGAAAACATTGCTTTTTTCCCCCCTCATTGTATTTCTTTTGCCCCTTTGTTAAAGATCAGTTTATGTTGGGCTATTTCTGGATGCTCTGTTTAATCCTATAGATCATTTTGCCCATTCTTTCATTAGCACCCCACTGCCTTAACTACTGTAGCTTTGTGGTATTCTTGTGACTTTATTGAAAAGAGGCTTTTTGGAGAGCCTTACTCTGCAAATCATTCTGATGTCATTATGTTTCTTAATTATCTGTAAAGTATCATGTTGAAAACAATTGTCACTTTTTAAGAAAATAAATTGAGATTTAATGTGTAAAGTGAGTTAATGAAACTTATTATCTCAGCAGTTGCCCTATACAGAAAGGAAGATTTCTTTTCTTTTATTGTTTCAGGGGAGAAGTAATTGATTCTTTTCCTCATAGTTTTGTTACAAGACTTAAACCGAATACAGAGAATAAACTTTCAATTTCAGTGTAAAAGGCTTGGGAGGCTGAGACATGAGGATTACAAGTTCAAGGCCAGCCTCAGTAACTTAATGAGGTCCTAAGCGTTAGGGAGAACCTGTCTTAAAATAAAAAATGAGGGGCTGGGGATGTGGCTCAAGAGGTAGCACGCTCACCTGGCATGCGTGCGGCCCGGGTTCGATCCTCAGCACCACATACAAACAAAAAGATATTGTGTCTGCCGAAAAACTAAAAAAAATAAATATTAAAAAATTCTCATTCTCTCTCTCTCTCTCTCAAAAAAAAAATGAAAAAAAAAAAGGCTGAGTGGTTAAATGCCTCTGAGTTCAATTCCTGGTACCAATAAAAGAAAAAAAAGATCAATAAGTTTTATGTAATATTAGCTATTATTAATAATCTTTACTCCTTTTTCTCCATCTTCCTCCTTTAAACATACAGCTCTTAGCTTGCCCTCCTAAATACAGGAACTGCTTTATTAAACCCTAGTAATGAAACCATAGCAGAGCTCTGAAAAGAACTGATTGGAATTGCTGGGCATGGTGGCGTATACCTGTAATCCTAGGGGCTTGTAATCAGAGAGGGGAAGATTGCAAGTTCAAAGCCAGCCTCAGCAATGGCGAGGTGCTAAGCAACTCTGAGAGACCCTGTCTGTAAATAAAATACAAACTAGGGTTGGGATGTGGCTCAGTGGTTGAGTGGATGTGGCTCAGTGGTTGCCCCTGAGTTCAGTCCCCAGTATCCCCCAAAACAAAAGCCAAACAAAAAAGATGATAGCTTGGCATTGAGAAAATGTGGTAATACAATTTTCTTTTCCCTGAAAATTGTTTGTATCATGTAATTGGAAAGCTTGTTAGCATTGCTATGTATGAATGCTTAAAAGAGTTAAGTGAGGGCGGGGGAGAGGAAAAGTAATAAGTAAGTACCTGGACTGGCAGGGATGTTGCCTTTAATAACTAGAAGGCAAAGAAATGAGAGTAATGTAGTATACTGCATTTAAGATTGAATGAGTTCAGGAAATGAAAGTCTGTGTTATACTCCTGTTTGCAACAAAACCTCTCAATGTTTTTGGAATTTCTTCGCCTCTAATAAATCTATCTGGGATTTTTTGGTGCAGTAGAGTTATGTATAATTCCTGTTTCTTATTCATTAAAAGGGGTGTGCACCCTGTGATGAAAATTGGACTGTAGTAACAATAAAATTATTCCTTTTGAAGTGAGTTACTAGGATAACTCTAGATCCTAATGAATTTATGCTGGTATGTAAAGGAAAGCTTGTATTAATTTATTTTTTCTAAAAATATTATATTCAGTCTCTTACAAAAAAGACAACAATATGATTTTAATATCCTTTGTATGCTTTCTTTTAGGTTGGTACAGAGGAGTGTCAACAAAGAAGCCAAATGTAAAGGTAATGAAATGTTTGTTAGCTTTTTTAATTCCAGAGGGAGATGTCTAAGTATGTTTGGTAAAATAACAGCTCTTACTGATCTATCTCTTAAGTCTTTTATAGTGGCCACAAACATATTTTTCCTCTACAGAACTGTATCAGACTTTTCTCTGATTCAGGAATATTAAAATAATTTTTCTGAAAGGACAGAAAATGCAAATGTGATCATAGTTATAAAACTTATCTTGAAGAGGCAGGCCTATTTAAGTTTTAAATTGTTTTTCCTTCAAATATTTGACAAAAAGTAAATTGAATTATTTATAGAACTAGTTCCTTGGAATTTGAAGCAATCCAGGCATTGCCAAAATAATAATGTGACTAGTTAGATGAATTTATTTCTCTTAATACCAGATGGAAAAAAAGTCAAATAATGTCTAATTAGACATTGGTTGATCCTGATATTCTTGTTAAAATTTTAATCTAAATGAGATATTGGTGTATAATACTAATTTTGTGTTCTAGGTTTTATGTGTTTATATAATTGGTAATTTGATCAAATAAAATATATTTTAATTAGCAGTTATAATACCATTAGGAACATTCTTCTTCAGTATAATGCATTTATAAAACATTCTTTCTGCTTAATTCTTTCATATAATTAATATTATTCATTTTCTTGTTTCTGTATTTTAATACTCATTGTATTATGCTTTTTCTTATGTAGACAAATAACAAAATAAATAACAAAATTATCACATTATTTTCATTAAAAAATTGTCCCAAGTTTTACCCATCAGTTTTGCCAGTGAAATTGTTTTATTAGTTTCTTTCTTTTTTAAAAAATTTGTTCTAAGTAGTTATACATGACAGCAGAATGCATTTCGATTCATTGTGCACCAGTGGTACACAACTTTTCATTTCTCTGGTTGTACATGATGTAGAGTTGCACCATTCATGCAGTCATACATGTACTTACGAATATGATGTCCATCTCATTCCACCATCTTTCCTACTCCCATTCCCCCTCCCCACCCCACCATCCATTTTTCCCATCCAAAGTTCCTCCATTTTTCTTATGCCCCTTCCCCCCATATGGATCAGCATCCATTTATCAGAGAGAACATTTGGTCTTTTGGTTTTTTGGGATTGGCTTGCTTCATTTAGCATGATATTCTTCACCTCCATCCATTTACCTGGAAATGCATAATTCTATTCTCTTTGAACACCGAGTTGTTGGTTTCTGAGGTAATGATTATAGTGAAACAATATCTTCATGTTTTAATTGCTTATAATCAGTTTTCTCATTCTTTGCACGACTAACATGTTGGGCTAGGCAACTCTTTGCTGTAGGAGGCTATCTTGTGTAGTTAAGATATTTATCAGCATATACGGTTTCTATCTACTGGATGCCAGTAACTATCTCCCCCTATGTTGTGACAGTGAAGAAGCAATCCAGGCATTGCCAAATGTATTATGGGGGCAAAATTGCTCCTGGTTGAGAACCACAGCTCAATAGGTAATTTTCCCCCTTCTATTTCTGATTTTGAGCTACACTTTAGGTGTTAATTTTGTCTTAAGAATGCTTACATGGGAATAGTTTCTATTTGTGTTTTATTTTTAAAATCTTGCTTGAATTGCCAAAAAGGTTAGCACTTGAATAAATAAGAACTCTTATAAATGAGTAGAAAGCTTTAATTTGTGCTATTACATATTATAAATTTATTCTTAGTAATATTTGATCTTGGCCACTCTTCTACTTTGCTTCCAATACTAGTATTTGGGGAATCACTGTGGTCATTGAAGTTATTATATGTTTGTGATTGATGTATGAAATTGATTCACAGTGTTTTGTTTAAAAACGATATCAAGGGAAACATGAGTGATAATACCTTTAAAATATTAAACATAATTGTTTTATCTATTGTTAAATAGCAAGTACAATAGAATGTAATGGATTAAACTAACATTTTATCTCTTCATGATTTTGTGGTTTGAGGAGTCAGCTGGGTGGCTGTTTGGATACCTGTGAGGTCATCTTGTAGCTATAGTCATCTGGGATCTCAACTGGCCAGAATGTCCAAGAGTATTTTTTTGGCATCTTGGCATGGATGGTGTACCACCAATATATGTTAATTGGGTTTCTCCATGTACTCTCAGGGTCTCTGTTCATGTGGCTTCTCCAGCAGGGTAACTAAAATTTCATTTTATAGTTAAGGGGAAGTACTCATACCTATTTTCAGTTCTTTTCCATGTAAATCAGTTGTTTAGGGTCTGTGAGAGTAATTATTTTGTGATTTGTCTTTGTAGTTGTTTGATAAACTGATGAAAATGAGGAAGCTAAATCTCATTACCCTAAACAGTGTCAGATCTCTTTTTGTCAGATTAGATTCCATTAATTTCTTCACTTTAGGCTAATGTACTTCTGAAATTGTGTGGTTTAATTAACCCTCTGAAATTGTGTGGTTTAATTAACTCTTTGCTAAAATTGTGAGTGAGATTGTTTTTCTGATTTTTTTATCAGCAAGTTTATTTTTGTATATAGAAAATCTAATTAATATTTTTAAAACTTCAAATTTATTTTCCCTTATAAATTTTAAATAAATTTAATTTAAAATTTATTTATTTAAATATTTTAAAAAATCTTTTATAGTTGTAGATGGACAGCATGCCTTTATTTTGTTTATTTTTTTATGTGGTTCTGAGAATCAAACCCAGTGCCTCACATATGCTAGGCAAGTGCTTTGCTACTGAGCTACAGCCCCAGACCCCAATTTATTTTTTAATGTTTTAATGACTACAGTAGAGTCACACATAATAGGGGTTCATTTTTACATAATCATACATATAAGCATAGGGTGTTATTTATTCCATTTCAGTCCCCAGTACTTCCTCTTTCCATCCTCTCCTCCTTTTCCCCTTCCTCTATTCTACTGGTCTTCCTTCTATTTATTGTTTTTGTGATTAGTGCTTTATAGGTATATGTAAAGGTAGAATTTTCTGTGGTATATTCATATATGTACATGGCATAATTGGGTTAATTTTACCTCCATCCCCAATCTTTTCTTATCCCTTTTCCCTTTTCCCATTACCTTTCTCTACTCCATTGATATTTCTAAAATTTTTATGGAATTTCCCAATCCTGTTTTTCCCCTTATTTTATTCTAGCTTCTGCATATGAGAGAAAACATTGGAACCTTGACTTTCTGATTCTGGCTTATTTAACTTAGCATGGGTATTGTGATGTCTCCAGCATTGCTTTTTGGGGGAGTTTAGAATTGCTTTGGAATTTCAAAGTAATTTTAGGACTTTTCCCCCCTAGTTCTGTGAGGATATCATTGGCATTTTGATGGGGATTGCATTGAAGTTGTCTATTAATTTTGCTAATATGGCCATTTTAACAATATTAATTCTGCCTATCTAAGATGGAAAATCTTTTCTTCATCTTGTGTTTTCTTCAATATCTTTATTCAGTGTTCTACAGTTTTCATTGTAGAAGTCTTTCATCTTGGTGGTTAGATTTATTCCTAGATATTTTTTTGAGGCTATTATGAGCATGATTGTTACCTACTACTTTGCTAAATTTATTACTTCTAGCAGTCTTCTGTTGGAGCTGTTTGAATCTTCTAAGTATAATGAGTCCTATCATTTATAATCAGTGATAATTTGTCTTCTTACTTTTCCATTTTTCTCCACTTTATTTTCTTCTCTTGCCTGATTGTTCTGGCTAGAATTTCTAGTACTATATTGATGAGGAGTGGTGACAACAGACACTGTTTTTGTTTTGTTTTTTTGTTGTTGTGTTGTTTTTTGTTCTGGATTTTAAAGGAAATGCTTTCTGTTTTTTTTCCTAATCACTGTGATGTTGGCTTTGGGTTTGTCTTTATAGCCTTAATGATGTTGGGATAAGTTTCTTCTGTTGCTAGTTTCTTCAGCATTTTTAACACAAGTGGGTGCTGAATTTTGTCAGAGGCTTTCTCTTTATCAAGATATCTGATCTTTTTGTCCTTAATTCTATTTATGTGGTGAATGACATTTATTGATTTATGTATGTTAAATTATCCTTGCTTCCCTGGAATGAAACCAAATTGATCATGACGTACAGTCTTCTTAATATGTTGTTGAATATGATTTGCTAATTTTTTGCATCTAAGTTTATTAGGAATATTGTTTTTTTCTTGATGTGTCCTCATCTGATTTGATTATCAAGGTGATACTGGTTTCATAGAATGAATTTGGAAGTGTTTCACTTTTATGGCTTAAAGTAACTCAGGAATGTTCAGCAGGAAAATGATTGGATTGTGAGAGCTCTAACCTAATTAGTTCATCTTAGTTTGAGTGAAGTAGGTTGTAACTGTTGACAGGTGGGTCCTTACTGGAGGAATAGGTCAAGGGGGTTATACTCTGCAAAGATCCATGTTCGCTATGGCTCCATTTTCTTTCTCTTTCTCTGATTCAGCAATGAGCTGAGCAGCTTTCCTCTGCTTGTGCTGTCTTACCTTGGGACCAGAGCAATGAAATTGGCTGTCTGTAGACTTGAGACCCTCTGAAGCCATGTGACCCAAATAAATTTGTCCTCTTCTAATTTTTTCATGTCAAGTATTTTGGTAACAGTGATGAAAAGCTTACTAAAACACACCCTTTCAGGTTCACAAAGTAATTTGAGGAGCATTGACATTATTAGTTCTTGTTTAAAGGTCTAGTAGAATTCAGTTGAGAATCTTATCTGGTCCTGGACTTTTCTTTGCTGGAAGCCGTCTCATTACTGCTTGAATCTCATTCCTTGTTATTGGTCTGTTTAGATTTTCTATATCTTCTTTTTTAAATATACATTTTAAAATATCTTTATTTATTTATTTTTATGTGGTGCTGAGGATTGAACCCAGTGCTTCACACATGCAAGGCAAGCTCTCTACCACTGAGCCCCAGCCCTCTACATCTTCTTGATTGAATTTTATGTCTAGAAATGTAGCAATTTAATCTATGTTTTTCAATTTATTAAAGTATAAGTTTCAGTATAGTCC